TCCTAGACTACTTCCCCCTAAGAGTTTCTTGCTGTGATCAATATCTTAATCTTGAATTTCAAAAGAGGACAGATGCTATCCTTAGGTGAGTTTTGGAACCAATTACTCCAGGGGTAGGGTAGCAATCATATTATCCAGTTACATTTGTTTATTACCCTTACTCCACTTCAAATGAAGATGTTAGCCTTGCTTCTTCATCCTTCTTAAAGAGAAAGATTTGGAAAGAGTTTTAGACTAGAGAATAGTAATTCTTACTATTAATAGAAAACTAAAAAGGAAGGTTGAGTTGTTTGGTTTTTTTTTTAATTCCACAAATTTAATTTGTTGTCTCTTACAACAGGATGCCAGTAGGGATGAACACCCAGGCATATCATCATCAAAATTCAAAGCCATAGTGACAGATGATTTTTAAGAAACTGAAATGAAAATAACAACAGACCAAAAATTCCTCTAAAGGATTTGAATTACAGCCAGATAATCTCTGACGAAAAGTGAATGCGCAAAGTACAAAAGTTGCCAATGGTCTGTGTGGCATGTGCTTCCAAACTGAGGAAAACTGAAGAGCCTCTGTTACTTTGCAAGTTTTCTCCATAACAATACAAATATTGATATTTATGTGAGGGTTATGTGAGTCATTGCCAGCAATGCATTTAAACTGGGTTGTTTTTGTTTATATAGATAAAAAGCTCCACTTCTAACATGAGCTTAATGCTCTCAAATCTTCATTCATTCATTCATTCAAGATTCCGATTTAAATCTGAAGATTTGAGAGCACTAAGCTCATGGACAGTCTTTTCTGTGTACCAGGTGACAGGGCACCCATGCCTAACCCATGGACAGAATTTTTTAAACTCAGAATTGATCTTTGAGACAACTTAGCCTTGGCACACATTCAAGATTCTCAGTTTCCCTGGACATAGCTAACTACCTGTCTGCTGTCTAGGGTGGGTGAGGAGCTTAAGGGTGAAAACTTTTAGTGGGCTAATGCTCATAATTAACCTAAAAATTATATACAGTTAGTGATATTAAGGGATGGTGATTATCTCAGGAAGGGCAGCATGCTTAGCTTAGTTAAATAATAAAGACTTCAAATAACTGTTATCTTAGAGTGGTGATAGGAGAGCAGAGTGAGGGAAGAGGAATCAAAACCTTTTAAAATAATTACAAGAAAAGGAAGGGAAAGTCTGTTGAATCTTTGGCATGCAGATTAATGAGGCTACAAGTAGCTGTGCTTCACAGAAGACAATTAATTCTTGACATGCAAGCAAAAGAGGATTACAGTAAACCATACTTGATACAGAAGTTTCTCCTGCTTAGGAAATGAATATCCTTGAAAGGGGGTTGTACTTGTAGTTTTAAGTATGCATTTAGCACTAGTAATAGCATTAGTAATAATAACAACAACAGTAATCCTAACAAAAATACTAATTTGATCTATCATATAGCCTCACTTCTACAAAAGAAATTCATGTATTTGTAGCACCATAAACGATATGGTAAGTTATGAGTGAAAATAAAGGCACTGGATAACGGCTAGGGGAGGACAGAGGTGGGGTGGGGGGCAGTAAACCAAGACAGTTTTTCTTTTCTTTGTTCATGTAATTGTTCCTTTTTCTGAAAACCAAATTTTGTTTGTTTTTGAGACTTCTGGTAATGCTGCTACTTCTCTTCTTCTTCCTCTTCTGTTTTTGAGACTGTTATTAAGGATACAGACCCCCCCTTGTGACCTCTAACTATGCATGTATCTGAAAGTCCTTCAGTTTTTTCATCTATAAAATGAAAATAATAACAATATCTGTATTGCCTATATCATATAGTTGTTATAAGAATCTAAAGAGATAAGGAGTGCGAAGTTGCTGTATAAATTAAAATTATTATTATTCATTGATTTCTCCATTTCTTACAAATTATTTAATACCCAAACCTGTTTGCCACAATTTTGAATAGTTTATATCCATTCACAAGTTCGAATTCAGGGCAGCTAGGTGATGCAGTGGATAAAGCACCGGCCCTGAAGTCAGGAGGACCTGAGTTCAAATCTGGCCTCAGACCAAACACTTGACACTTACTAGCTGTGTGACCCTGGGCAAGTCACTTAACCCCCATTGCCAAAAAAAAAGTTAGAAGGTGACATGAAAAATCACCAAAATAGCAATAAAAATAAATCAGTGGACAATTTTAGTGAGTACTCTTCTAGATCTTGTGAGAATATAAAAGTATAAGATACGATACTCGCCCTTGGCAAGACTGCAATCCAGTTTCCCAACTTAAAGGGTACAGTTCCCTCTGATCGGCTCTGATAGTGTTGGCTACAGTAGGTGCAGTAAGCCATCTTGGATATTCTTATTCAATAATGACCCTATTCAAGCAATATTTTCTTCCCCAGGTATGGGCTCAGATCCCTTCATTAAAATTGTAGGTTATGAATATGGATGGATACAACTAGAATGTACATCAGCTGGATGGTACCCACAGCCTTGGGTAGAGTGGAGAAATCTTGTAGAAGAGACGATTCCATCCTTGGAGGAAAGTCTGGCTCCCAGTGAAGATGGGCTGTTTGTTGTGACGTTGTCTGTGATTATCACAGATCCCACAGTGGTTAGTGTGTTCTGTTCCATACAAAACCTCCTTCTCAGCCAGGAGTTGTTGACAATGATTTCTATACCAGGTCAGTTCTCAGCTTTAGATTCTCCTTGCTGAGTCATGGTCATTGTAGCCATAGGAGAACCATAAAGGGAATATCTAAAGGAAAAGCCCTAGCACCTGTAGGCTATGGGGATAAAGTCTCTAAACTTTTTGATTAGTAAAAATGTTTTCAGCACATATATGTTATGAAGTGATGGGGGAGGGGAGGCCTAACAGTAGGCAAAGCAATTTCCAGCTACTGCTTTTGGTGCCTGGGTGGCAGTTACTAGGTCATAATTGCCTTGAAAGTCCTCAAGAGGAAAAAGTTGGAAACTTGCGCAGTGTGGAAAGAGATAGAGTAGGGAGGCTATTGTGAAAGGTAGGTGCAGTTATGCTGGAGATAAGCCCCACTGTTGACTGTCACAGTATATAGATCCGTCTTCCCACTCTCTTATTAAATGTCAACTGGTCGTAGCACAACCCCTACTTTGGGGACCACTTGGTTAGAAATGAGATCAGGGATTTAAAGATACTCTTCTTTATCTATCGCTTGATGCCTGACAGCTTCCAGTAGAGAAGAGAAATTAACATCTTCTTTCCCCCACCAAATAGGAACTTTCACATGACACTTGCTGATAAATGTTTCTCCTGGAAGACAACTATTATGTGTCCGATTCTTGAAAAATAGAGAAGGCAGTCAATTTAAGTAGCAAGTGCTCTTAATTTTTGCCGGTGCACTTGTGGTCAGTGCCCTGAGGTGCATTAGTGTCACTTCCAGGGTGAGGCACTTACTCTGTATGAAACATTTTCCAGAAATACGGCCTGGAAATTCTCCACTGAGCAGATACTAATATAAACAATCATTCGCTAAAACCAGAATTAGATTTGGAGTGCAATTTAGCACACCAAGGAAGAGGCATGTAGGAAAGCAACACTCCTCTGGGTTTCATTTGCATTTTATTTTGGAACAAAAAGTTCCAAATTTGGAATTTGGAATTCCAAATTCCAAGAATTTGGAAATAGGAAAAAAGAGGATAGAGGAAAAATTCAACCACATAAATACCATTCCTTTTCCTTCTTTGAGAGGGATCACAATCTGAAAGAATCTTCTCTTTTCAGATTTATAAAAGAGGTCCTGGCATGTCTTGGCTGGTTTAACTCTTTTTTCTTTATGTCCTTTGACATAGAAGCTGTTTGGGTCTCGACTTCCATGCCCTCTGAGAGCCCTTCCGAGCTTCCAGACCCAAGAACTCCTGGACCTGAAAAGGTCTCAACCTGGATGGTTGTTCTCACTGTGGCCTTGTCTGCTCTTGGACTTTTTATTGCTTTTAGTATTTATTTTATGTGGAAACAACACAGGAGGAGAAAGACACTATTTATAGAAAAAGAAATTGAATGTGAAGAAAAAGAGAAAGAATTTGATAAAAAGGGGCAAGAACATATGGGAAAAGAAAGAGAATGCAACCTGACAGGTAAAAAAAAAAAAAGCAAAGATGACACTTTGGGAACAAAAAAAATCTTAATTTTTGACATGGGGTGCTGGAGAGGAATGAACTGGAAACAGAAAGGGTCAAAACTCTGTATCTTAAATCTCCCAAAACTCCATCCCCTTACACCTCTAAACTTTCCTTTTAGTTGACCAAATGCAAAAATGTTGTTTTGTAGAACCTAAATATCTGAGTAATTGAAGATCTGATATCAATTTAGATGATGCCTCATCGTTCTTGGTTCCTTGGCAGCACCTCGGCCATCTCAGAACTTTCATAAAGAGATTCTTCTCTATTATATATTCCAAAAACAGATTCTGTTAAATCTTTCTCTCTAGAGAGCCATTGGTTTATTTCTGCTTCTTTTCAGAGAAACTCAAGGAAGAGTTCAGTAAGTTCGGCATTCTCCTCATTATCTCATTACTCTCATGGACAATGTGTATTCTTCTCATATAGTAAATATATAAAGAGTTCTAATCTTTCTGTTTGTCCATTGCAGGATGGAGAAGGACCCAGTTACATGCTGGTGAGTGGCACTTCTGTTCTCTGTGAGTCTAAGATCTCTCCTTTCCCACTCCTCATGATTCCTCCACCTCACAATAAAGGACAGGGCAGAAAAGAGGAAGAACAGACAGTCAACTAGAGCGCAAGCTAAATACAATGTTTGAGTGAAAGTGGTGAAAGTCTGTCTCTATACAATTAAGCAATTCCTGGGACTACCATAGAATGATTTGGAGGAATCATTGAGCCTCACCAGCCAGTTCTCCAGTAATTTCACTGGCTTCTCTGTTATTTTTAAGTGTAATGGCTGGGATAGGCTGATTGGAGGAAAGAAAGTATCTCAAGCCACTGAGCCCAGTTATCTTCCATGTTTTGATTAACAAAGTCATTATCGTTACCCCCAGAACTTTTCTCTGGGTAATACCTTGCATCCTCTACCATGATACTTTGTGAAATGGAAAATACCTTAGTGGCCATCTAGTCCAAATCATACCTGAAAGGAATCCCCTCTATGACACACCTAGCAAATGATCATCCATGTTCTACTTAAACACCTCCAATGAAAGGGATTCTAATTCCTCTCAAGGCAACATGCTACATTTGGATAGTACTCATTATTAGTAAATTTTCCTGACATCAAGCCTAAATTTGCCTCCTCGTGATATCCACCCTTTGTTTCTGGTTCACCTCCTCGTTCCTGTAGCTATACTTCTCTTAAGATTACATTAGCTTTTTTTTGGCTACCACACCATACTGCTGACTTGTGTTAAGATTGCAGTCCACTAAAACTCCCACATCTTTTTCAGACAAACTGCTGACTATCTCATCTAGGACTAATAATGATGATTTTTTAACCCAAGAATAAGATTTTACATTTATCTCTCTTGAATTTCATCTCATTAGATGCCACTTAATGATCTAGCCTGTCTAAATCTTTTTGGATCCTGACTCTCATCCATTGTGTTACCATTTCTCCTAGTTGTGTTGTCTGTATTTGTGATCATTTTATACAAATATAAAAATGTTAAACAGCATAGGACTAAATTCAGATTCCTAGAGCACTCCACTGTAGACTTCCTGTCAAGTTGATATGAATATTCTTTGAGTTCAGCCATTCAGTCAGTTCAGAATGCATCTAATTGTAGTGTTGTCTCGTTCACATCTTTCCATCCATTCCACAGAAGTAGAAATTATGAACCACTTTAGGAAGTGTTTTGCTAAAAAAACTAGATAAGCTATAGCTACAACATTCCCTCTGATAGAAAGCTTAATAACACTGTCAAAAAAAAAAAAGGAAATAAGGTTAGTCTGACATGGCCTCATTCTTTGTAATTACTGCTTCCCTTTTCTCAATGCTCACTAATCACTTCTTTATTGATCTGTGGTAGAAACTTTCCAGGAATTAAAATCAAATTACTTGGCCTATAGTTTTCAGACTATTCTCTTCCCTTTTTTGGAAATCATAACATTTGCCTTTCTCTAGTTCTGTCGTATCTCACTCATTCTCCATAAACTTTCAAACATCACTGATAATAACTCCACAACTGCATCTGTCACTTCTTTCAGTGCTCAAGGAAATAACTCCTCTTGGTCAGGTAACTTGAATCATCAAGGGAAACTAGGTGTTCTTTTACTATCTTCTAACTTATTTATAGTGGGTATCAGCTCCCTCTTAGCCTTTTCTTGTTCCATCCTTTCCCATCCAAAGGTCATTCTCCTTGACAGGGAAAACTGAGACAAAATAACAATTAAGACAGCTTTGCCTTCTTTCTTTTGTTAGTTGTCATAATCCCATCTTTCCCACGTGATAGTCCAATCCCTTGTTTGAGACTTTTCTTTACCCCAAGATAGCTAAAATAAAAAAACTTTAATAAAAAATTTTTCTTACTGCCTTTATTCTTTACCAGCTCCTTATGTGTGTTAATAGGATCATGCCACTCTCTTTTATTCATTCTCTATTACCTGCTCTTGCTTCCCATCTTTTGTAAATAACTTTTGAAAATAAAATTTGATTGATTTCCCTATGCATGCATAGTAGTCTTTTCAGATAAGTCCTTTTTTTTTTTTTTCTCACTGGGATTGTTTCTCTTCGTGTCTTCAGAATTTCAATAGTAAGAGTTTCCAACCCTTCCTGGGCTGACTTAATCCTACTTTGACATTCCCCTGAACCCTTTGAAATCTGCTTTCTCAAAAACTGGGGAGCACTTCAGACTATGCCCAGATTTTCTCTTCTCCAGCAACAAACTCTACAAGGGAGAAGTTACTACCCTTAACCCACAAGTTTCCCATCATCTCCCTTTCAGTAACCAGTTCCTCCCTGTTAGTAAGAATCAGATCTAGAATTGAATTTCTCTCGTTGGTTCCTTCACCTTTTAAAAGATTAATGATATAGGGCAGCTAGGTGGCACAATGGATAGAGCACGGCCCTGAAGTCAGGATGACCTGAGTTCAAATCTGGCCTCAGACCAAACACTTGACACTTACTAGCTGTGTGACCCTGGGCAAGTCACTTAACCCCAATTGCCTGGGGAAAAAAAAAAAGATTAATGATAGAAACTTCACTAGATTTCTAGATAATTAATGTCTTCTATCACTACTATATCATGCCTCTGGACCAGATTAGTGATCTATTTCCTAATTCTTCATCTATTTGCTTTTTCCATTCAATTAGTTTGTAATCTTGTTTCTAATGACAAAATCACTTGTTTCTGTTTCTAATGATCTTCAACCAAATACCACTATGTTCTCTTGATCTGGGTTCTGGGTTTTCTTTTCTTTTTCCCCAATAAAAATAGTTTATTAAGCACCAATTATGTGCTAGGCTAGAAATTTTAAAAATTACATGCCACTGGAAATTAAAAAAAAAAAGTTAAATAGTCTCAGCCCTCAAAGAGCTTGCATTCTATCAGGGAAGAAACACATACAAATATATGTAGATGAATGGAGCTGATGTAAGCCCTAAGGTTCTATCCCAACTCACATTCACAATGATGAGTCAGGTAGCCCAGAGTATGGTTGCCTATTTCCTCTCAGGGTTCTAAGGGTACACCTAAGGAGTTGGGATATCTTTCTAATGCTATCATCTCAATTCTGATGTGTTCTTCCTGGTAATCACTAGCAACAGATAGTATTTCCCTTATATCACATACAAAGATTGCTTCCATTAAAAAAGAAAAAGTGCCTGATAACCTTGTGCATGCAGAGGTGTTTCTCAAATCCTTTCACTTTTTCTGTGAGGAAGGAGAAAACACGTAAACACTTCCTAGAATGAAGGGATTTAGGGCCAAATCTGGACCATTTTAAAATAACAATGGTTGAATTGCCTTTTGTGATAATAGTCCCTAAAGCATGACAAATTGGGTCCCTTGAAGAGCCTGTACTACTGCTAAGGTGACTGGATGACTGAAATGACTCTGGGAGGCAAGATAAAGAGGTGGCTATGATAGCTAATACACACACCAAAAAAAAAGATGCTTGACAACTAAGGAACCTGGGATTATTTGCCTACCAACTATGTCCTTCCCCATTTCAATTAAATTAAATATGGGCCCAGTTCCTCATTTGTAAAATGAAGGGTTTGGACTAGAGGATCTCTAAAGTCTTTTCTAACTCTAAAATGCAGAGGTCTTGTACACCTACGGGTTTGACCCTGCTCATAGGATCAAATGGTGTGTACTGCAAGAATGATCGTGTCTAATCATGAGGAAATTTGGCTCCTGTATGTTACATGACAGAGGAAGATCTCTTAATTCAGAACTAGCATAAGAATAGTGTCACTAGATTTTGTATTGGAAGTAGATTGTGAAAATGGAGAATAAAAATAAGAGTAGAAAAGGGGTAAATATTATACTGATAAATTTCTCTGGCAGCCTTAGTGCCTAAGCCCCTTCTCTAAGGATGGGGTATCTCTCGTGATTGGTTCTCATAATGTACAGTTTCTCTCTTTTTAGTAGTGAAAGGGAGGAAGCTATGATTGGTACACTATGAAACATCAAAAAAGAATAAGATCCCAAAGAAAAAGTGCACAAAGAATCCTCTACAACTTTCCTCTCCTCCCTTAGTGTTTTTTAGGTACTACTGATTCCACAGCCAGGGCTCTAAGACCCCAAAACTGAATCTGGAATTCTCCCTTTAGCTGATGTGACTCTGGATCAAAACACAGCTCATCCTGAACTCTACCTCTCTTTGGATTTGAGGAGTGTGATGCGAGGGGACACACGGCAAGATCTGCCTGATAATCCAGAGAGATTTGACTGTAGACCCTGTGTTCTTGGCCGTGAGAGCTTCACCTCAGGGAGACATTACTGGGAAGTGGAGGTAGCAGATGTCATGGTGTGGGCCCTTGGAGTCTGCAGAGAAAATTCTGAGCGAAAGGGGGAGGCTCTTCTGATACCCCAAAATGGATTCTGGGTTATTGAGTTGTTTGGAAATAGATACCAGGCCCTTACCTCTCCTGATATTCTCCTCCCTTTGCCTGAGCACCTCGACCGAGTGGGAATTTTCTTGGACTATGAGGCTGGAGATGTCTCTTTCTACAATATGATTGACAGATCCCATATCTATACTTGCCCTCGAACCTCTTTCTCCGGACCAGTCAGGCCTTTCTTCAGGCTTGGGTCTGATGACAACCCTTTGGTCATTTGCCCAGCATTCACTGGAGCTGAGGGAGTCACTGTCCCCGAGAGTGGCCTAATCCTTTATAGGAAACCCTACTGACCCCTTGATGAGGGGTGGAAGGACCACCTTCAGGCTCTGAGCTTCAGTTGCCTACTGGAGATAGAAGTTACTTTATCATACGGCTTTTAAATTTGATCAGTTCTTTAAAGAAAGATTCACTTTCTTCTCTCCTCCCCACTCTGTCTCCTCCCTGGGCAATAAATGCCTACATAATCTAACTCCTTTCCTGTTCCTCATGGGGCGAGCAGGCTTGGTACCACTATGGTTCAGCTGACACAAAAGAGATTTCCTAGCTGGGCAAGTAGAAATGTTGGAGAGGAGGGATAGTGAAGGGAAGAGGAGGCAAACTTTAAACTTGATGTACTGGGATGGGGATTGAAAGGATATGAAGAAAGGACAATGAGAGCTTGGGCTCTGGATGAAACATGAGTGATTGACAGTAAAAAAGAGATGAAGGAACCTCTTAGGGATAAGGAAAGGGGAAAGATTACAAGCTTAGGTCAGATATTTTGGGTATAGGAATAAGAATCTTGGAAAGGGGAAAGAAGCTAGTAAAGATGTGAATCAACATTGTCAGCTATGATTCAGGAAAGGAGAATTATTCTCTGGAACCATCCTTTAAAAAAAAAAACAACCTTAATTTGATCCTGTAACCCTCTTAAGCAAGGGTCTTTAACCTGGCTCCAAAGGATCCATGGATAGATTTCAGGCAGTCCATGAACTTGAATGGGAAAAAAAAATACATCTTTTGTTTCAATATAATTTATTTCCTTTGTAATGTTATATATTTTGTTTTATGCATTTAAAAATATCATCCTGAGAAGGGGTCCATAGGCTTCACCAGACTTCTGGTGGGGGGGGGGAGTTTAAGAATCACTACCCTAAAACTATCAATCCCACATCTCTCCTCACTTTCACATCTAAACTCTTAGAAAAAGCCATATACATTTGTTGCCTTCACTTCCTCACCTGCCACTCACTTCACAACCCCTTTTAATCTGGTTTAGACCTCATCATTCTACTAAAACTTTTATCTCCACAGTCAACAGTGCTCTCTTTGTAACCTCTCTTTTCAATGTATTTCTTATAGAGACTGTTACAGTCTCTTGAAGAGCCAGATAAGAGGTCAGGTAGTATTACAGTAATTGTAAGAGCGAAGTAGGAATTAGGGGAAAGACAGACTGACAGTTGGGGGTGACAACTGAGAAACAGCTCCCTTCCTATGGAGTAAGGGAGAAAGTGGAGAGTTATAAACTCCTAGGCACAAGATGAATGTCAGTGATTATTATTCTATCCTCCAGGATTTCTTGGCCACATATCCACAAAAGCCCCAGATCTTATCCTTGGGAGGAGGAAAAACCAGCCCCCATCTCTTGGAAAGCTGACTGACAATAGAAGGGAATGAAAAAAGAGCTCTAGTATCCTATAGCTCTTGCCTTACACCTTTCATATAGATTTATCTTGCATCACTTTTCATTTCAACTATTTGTATGTGTGTTGCATCCCCATGCCTAGTGTTTCCACATTTCTGACAGATAATCTTTGGGATTTAGGAATGAAAAATCAGGATTCCTGGGAATTCCCATAATTGTAAGTTATTCTTTATTTTTGTAGCATTTTATTTATGTTTTCAAATAATGAGTGACCATAATAAAACACAGTGAATCTTTTTTCTGTGATAGGAATATGATAAAAGTTTCAGTGGCTTTCTTTTAAAAATAATAATAATAAATGCATGCTTTATTATAATTAATACAATATGTTGTGACAGTTATTTAAAACATATCTAGCAATCAGCTAACTGATTTCCTTTATCTCAAAATATCTCCAACATTTGTTATACTCTTTACTCGTTATTACAGATATCTAAAAAACTTGTTAAATAAATAAGAAATATTAAGTTTAGTAGTATTTACAAAGAGCTGTAGCCTATAGCAAATATTCAAACACTGGAAAATGCCAGTGAATACTATTGTAGGTCATATTTGAACAACATAACATTGAGCTCTCCTAGCACAACACAGAATCACCAGTCAAAATTGCCAATTTAAGGACTTATTTTGCTTCCAAAACTTGTTATGTCTTAGAGTACCCCTTATGATGGCTTATATAAAGTGGTGGAATCAAATTCAAACAGAAGCGTATTGACTTAGAAAACTATAAATTGATATTATCTATGTTGTTGTAGTATTTTTATTTATTTTGTTAAACATTTCCCAATTAATTACATTTTAATCTGATTTGCAGCCCAGAAGTTTTGCTGGCTGCTTGAGCAAGAGCCCCAGGTTTTGACATCCCTCAATTATACAGTGTATTATAGTATACTTTATATGTGGTAGCAGTATATAAAGTATATTATGCATATAAACTTATTAATATTTATTTTATTGGCAAGAATGACTCATTCCTTGCTAAAGATAGGGCCACAAGCACATACTTCTAACAGACTGATTAGATCATGACCACTGCTCTCCTGCCTTCTTCTCTTCTCTCCACTTCCTTCCTGGTTCCCAGAAATGTCAACCATAACCTTTGACTTTGCATGTCAGCATTTCTTGATCTTGCTTCAACGTTATATCAGTTGATTCCTTCAAATCAAAAAATGTCTTATGATAATTGTTAACCTTTGATTCTTGCAGGAGAATTATAATACTTCTCCCCAATTCCTCAAGTGGTTTTTCTTGGGATTGAGGATTCAGAAAAACATCAATTTCTCAAGAAATGCTGGGAAGGAATGTCTGCCTCAAAGCACTACCCCCACCAGAGGGCAGGGAGCCTTAATTTTTGTATCTTCCTTAAAACCTAATTTAGTGTTCTGCACAGAGTAGACACGTTTGTTAAAGTTGGTTGAAGGGAATGAAGGGACAAATCTGGAAATTAAGTGGCTATGGAATTTCCGTTAAAACCCAGCTCAGAAGTCATCTTCTCCAGGAAGTCATTTCTCCCTAATCACTCCAACTCCTCCCATACTCCACCAGGCATCACATAGCATTTTTCTTGAACCATTCTATGGTACACATCATGAATTATTTTGTATTACAGTCATATGTTCATATGTCATCTCTCCCAATGTGCTATGAGCTCCATAGAGAAGGAACCCCCTTTTTTTTTTAGGTAGGTAATGAGGTTAAGTGACTTGCCCAGGGTCACACAGCTAGTAAGTGTTATGTGTCTGAGGTCGGATTTGAACTCAGGTCCTCCTGAATTCAGGGCCAGTGCTCTATCCACTGTGCCACCTAGCTGCCCCAAGAACCCCTTTTTGTAACTCTCCAGAAATTTCAAAAAAATGTTTATGGAATAGATATGAAGGATTTGATAAATTCCAGCCAGAGCTATTTTGACTTGAAATATTTGAAAGGAAAATTTCTGGATAACAGCTCAGGGATGAGGAGGATGCCATGACTTTATCAACCTCTGAGACACAAACATGTCTCTTATGGCCTCTGCTGAGCCTGATGTTTTTGTTGATTTTTTTTTACTAGGAAATATCTACTTTATTTGGTATTTATTAAGTTCAGAATAAAAATATTTTTTAAAGTAACATATAATGGCACAATTTTTTAGAGGATAGTGGAAGTGTGTGAGAGATAAATTTTGACCTTGAGTCAGAACTCAATGGTCTATCAGAACTGATGAAATAGAACGATAGAATTTGTAAAATTTTAGGTTCAGAAGGGACTTCAGAATTTAGCCCAACTTCTTAAATTTTAGCTAAGGGAGACCTGAAATTGTTCTTGTGGGAATGGCAACTCCTGTGGGCTACTTAGACTGTAACCCTAACAAAAAATGGAAAATATGCAGTAAGGCATTCCTCCTTCCAACTTCCCATCCCCAGTGTTTGGGCACATCCATGGGCATTGGCATAGGTTTTTTCTGGCACACCAAAAGAAAAAAGAGGAAGCTGCTCTTGTTACTTAGAATCCATAGAATTTCTTGGAACTAGGAAATAAAAATGAACGTGACTGACTCTCCAGGATGTTGCTCAATAGTTTGTTCAGTCCTTAGGTTCTGAGAATAGGCTGGCTTCTGTTTCTCTCAAAGGCTTGTTTGTTTGAGATCCTTCTCTAAGATAGAGATTATGTCGTACAAATTTTGCAATCCAATAGTGTTTAGCACAGGATAGGACACATAGGAGAGGGTCAGTGAGTCATAAAATCTTAAGAGTTTTAATGGATCTAGATTAAGAATCTAATTTAACTTTTTCATATGAGAAAATGTAAGCTCAGAGAAATGAAATGACTTTCGTAGAAATGAATCACTAAACATTTATTAAACATCTAGTATGTATGTGATATTGTGCTAGGCGCTGGGAAAAAAAAGACAAAAAATGAAAACATCCCTACAAAACTCTTATAAGGATCAGGGAAACACCATATATACATGAATATATAAAGAATAATACAAAATAGTTAAATAAAAGATAATTGTAGAGGGTACTAGCAATTGGAGGCATTAGGAAAGGCTTCCTGTATATATATAGACTTTTCTTCTGAAAAGAAGAGAAGGATTATAAGAGCCAGACATGAGGAGGTAGCACATTCCAGGCATAGAGAACAGATAGTGCAAGAGCATCAAGCTGGGAGATGGAGTGCCACATGTGAGGAAGAGAAAGAGGGGCAATTTGGCTAGAATGTAGAATTTATTGAAGACCCCTTGTAAATGAGAAAAGGACTTCCTGCGACCAAGAGCTGAGAGTTACCTGTTTGCAACATGCGCTCTTTAAGGCAGACAGGCAGGCAACAAACATTTATCCAGTACTATGTGTCAAGCACTGTGTGCCATCCCACTGTACAGGGAATAGAAATAACATGTGAAAAAAAGACTTTTTTGTCTATTTTCTCCACAAAAATATCAGGACATATTAAAATTGCTTATTAAAAGCTAAAAGCATAATTTTGACGTGTAAAAACAAAATATATAATAAATGTTTAAAATGTTAAAGGGTGAAGAGTGATTTTTTTTTCTCCATGTTGTCTTTGGGATCTATATCCCCCAGAAGTCTGTATGAAGTTCTAGTATAATCAATTTTAAAGGAAGATAGGAATCTCACAAAGGAAAAAGACTCCAGTCTGGTCAACTGAGGTAAAGAGGAAGAGGAAGAAGAAATGAGACCACATCTTGTTTACGTGATTACTGTGACAGGAAGCAACAATGTTCTCTATAACACTCTCGAGTTCCTAGGGCAATACCCTGCTATGAGTGTTCATAGTTTAGAGTGAAATCTACAGGTGAAAAATTCAAAACCATTATGAAGGAATGCTTCAAACCACTAATAAAAGAAATACAAAGTAAAATGACACTAAGGTTTCACCTCATATCCACTGTATTGGGGGAGAAATGACAAAAAATAAAAATGGTAAATATTGGAAGAGCTATTGAAAAACAAGCACCATAAAAGACTATTGGTAAAGATACAAATTCATCTAACCCTTCTGGAAAACAATTTGGAATTATACTGGAGGAGTTGTTAAACTATGTATACCCTTCTCCTAAAGATAGCAGTATATTACACATACATTAAAAGACAGAGGGATAAGAAAGATACTATCTGCATTTAGAAAAAGAACTGATAAACAGAAGTATGCATAGAATAATTTTACATATATATGTAGATATATGTAAATATGTGTGTATACATATATGCATATATGTGTGTGTGTGTGTGATGTGTGTGTATACACCAATTTGTGTCTAATGGTAGCCATCTCTAAACACAGGTAGGGTGAGGGAAGGAAAAAAAGGGGAAAAAAAGAACTTTACATG